CACCTATAACTCAAAAATAAAATAACTACATTGTAATATAGCATATGGGAAATGGTTGGCCCCCGCCGGAGTCACGGTCTTTTTGCCAAGCTTTGTTTTAAACTCCGGTGGGGCCAACCTTAACTGTCGGACTTTGTGTGTCGGTTGATGTACCATTTCCACTATATATGAACCTGGCATGGCCGAATTTGAGGCCCGAGGAAGAAATTGCTAGTTGGGAAAAAAAAAATAAAAAATAAAAAAATTCACGCGATGCTAGGGAATAGGTGACTGACTTGGGAATTCTGGTCTACCACCAATTCTCCAAGACCGGAGGTCGGTTATTGTCTTTCCTTATATCTAAACTATGTGCACCGACAGCTACCCGTGGAGTTGGTAATTTCAAAATGATAGATCATAACTGCTTCTCTACAACGCAAATAAAATGGACTCCCCTAACTCGACTCCGAACATGCCGATCACTATCTCTTATCGCTTCACTGCTACACTCTTCACTTCATTGCCGGGACTGAAGATAGCATGGCAACACACCAGATTACCTCAACTAACGGTGGCATTTTAATCATCGAGCTTAAACCGTCCGAAGTCGGAGATAGGTGTCTTCTCTTGTGAAGTGTGTCTTCGACGGGGAGGAGGGAGGCTCGCCCAACTCTTCCTGTACTATCTGTATATCAGCTATAGTCCTCATATGCTACCATTCCGACAGAGAGATAGAAGTAATGACACGAGCAAGGTATAGTGGGGGATAGTATCTTACAGCCATTCTTGCATCCTCCTATGAATATGCTAGCTATATATCTCGGCTTCCATCCGCCGCCGCGGGGCTTCCATAACAGCCTTTTTTTGGTTTTATTGGTGTCATGTTCCATATATGTGTATGATAAAGGTCATATCCTCTTCTCCTGCGGCTCGGAACCCCTCAGCGCTTGCACTTGATACCCTAGTCGCGCGCATTGATAGAGCCAATTTGTCCGGGCGGGACAGACAACATAACGAAGAACCGCTCAATGTCCACACAGAAACAGAAAGAACTTTGGTAGTCAAAAGTCGGTGGCTGCGAAGGAGAAAAGGAGCAAGAGGCAAGTGGGAGACGAGGAAAGTGTTGCAAAGCAGATCCAAAAAGGTAAACAGAAGGAAGTTACCGCCTACCATGCCTATTTCGATCAACTATGTTACACCTGATATCCATTTCAAACTTCTAACGTTGTGTATATCTTAGGATAAAATATTCTTCTACACTCGTGATGGCACGATACTCTGGACAATTTATCTTTTTCTCCCCAGGAGGAAAAAAAAAACACTGATTCCATGGCACAGAGTGGAAAGTGGTTTAATTTGTCATGACTTCGCTATATATATGGGGTTCCCCCCCCCCCCCCCCCATTGAGTACTGTTATGCCACAAGTGATACTACTGCTAGTAGCCAGCGTCAGCCGCGTATGGCTCGAATGCACTGGCAAGATCGCGGGTGGGAGAGTTGCTCGAGCAGTACAACCACTTTCCAATTAGGCAAACTATCCGCTTCAACCGACGAAATCCTTGATATAGTATAGAACGAAACTCCAGCTGCTGACTATATGTCTCGATTCTCAAGTCGTCGTGGCGTCCCATGACATGGGAAGGTTTACACGGCTAGAACCCGTCATTGGACCCGAAAATATCCCATTCTGGAATAAAAACCAGCCCCAGGGATACATGGTAGATTAAATCATTCTCTCTTTAGTTTAGCTTCCTGCTCAATCCACTGACGGATTTGACTACCCTTGTTAAACAAGAGTTGTGTTTCTGCCTTCGCCTTGATATATAGGCTTGGCTGATTTGCCTCGTTTGCAGAGGAAATGGTCGAAATGGAATATTATGTCAGCCGATCACCTCGGGGCTGCTGTGACCGCAACGATTCGGTAATAACCATATGTTGAATATTCTCCTTTCGCTATGTCACAGACAGGTGCAAGGAAACGGGTTTCTCTCGCTTGCAAGCCATGTCGAAAGAAGAGGTCTCAGGTAAGACTTGGACATGCCCAAAAATAGCATGAATTTTGATTTCAAACTAGCATGCTGATAAATTTAGTGCGATGGCGAGAAGCCTATGTGTGGTAGCTGTCTTAAGGGGCAAAGACAGTGTGAATACTCGCATCAAAATGAGAGACGCAAGTAAGTAGCGACGATAATATCAAATGAAGTTGATAAACGTCACTGCTAATCGATACAAAAGGCCTCCAAGTAAGTGCTACGTTCAGGCGCTACATGCCCGTATTAAAAATTTGGAAACACAGTTGTTACAATATGAGAACGCGCAAAGGGATGCAACGCAGCCTCCAAAGATAATGGCTGCAGTTATGGTGAGCCAAGTGCCACTGCCAAGAAATATACTAGCAGATGAACCTCAAAAACCAAAACCGGAAGACCCACTGGATGATCTTGTGGATCTCTACGGGGCCTTAAGTTTCGCTGAGGGTCAAGAGCTACGGTACTACGATTCTCGCAGCAATCTGGGCCTTGTCCGCCAACAATTGGATGCAAAAAGTGTTCCGGTCTTTCAAATACCTTCAAAATATAGTCGTCGCAGAGGGGACAGCTTTGAAGTGACATCGGATGTCCAAGAGCATATTTTGGAATTGTATTGGAAGTGGCAGAATCCATGGCAATATCTGATCCACGAAGAAAAATTTCGGCGAGACCTTGAACAAGGAAGCTCCAATGGTTATTGCACACCGCTTCTTCTCTATTCTATGCTTACTATAGCTTCTCGATACTCCGATCGGCCAGACATTCGAACAAATCCCGATGACCCGAGTACTGCTGGCGATGCTATAGCGGAGCAATGCAAAATTACTTCTCTTCGATGAACTGGAGGCTCCTGCTGTATCGACCGTCATTGCCGCTGTATTGCTCTCATTGAAGAGATGTCAGTGAACAAAGAGCCCGTTGGTTGGACATATGTGGGTAAGAAACACGGCTGCCCTCGCGCGCGTGAAGGAGTTTTAAACTGAACTCCAACCAGGGATGGCAACACGCATGGCATATAATCTTGGGCTTCATGTTGACCCTTCGAAGTGGGTTGAATCAGGCCACCTCACGGAAGAAGATGCATCAATACGCTCAATTGCATGGTGGGGTTGCTACATGGTAGAGAAGTATTTTCAACGGATATACACTGCCTTAGCCGTTGAGACTAACGCAGTATAGGTTATTCAATCAAGGGGTGGGCCGGCCAAGTATGATTTGTGAACATAATATACAGGAGCCGCTTCCGCCTATTGTACAAAACATCGAGTATGGTCTGTGGGAGGATACTGAGACGGCCCCAGAAAAAGGCTCTCTCATCTCATATTGCACCTCTACTTTCCGGTATACGTGTGAGATGCTTCGCATGACAGCCGGACCTTTAAATGAGATGTGAGTGCAATTATTATGGGTTTTCTTAGTGGCTAATTCAATTTGTGTAATAGCTATGCTATCAATGGGAACATGAGCTCATCCGAAAAGGAAAGTCTTATTGCACAGACAAATCTCCGGTTATCAGCGGTTCATAACAAATTACCAAGCTTCTTGCGCCTATCTCAATCCTCTCCCAAAAACCTTTACCACCACATATCTATCTCTTTCAATGCGTTTCCTCACGACCGGCTTTGAATCTATCATACTAATGACAGGGTAGCCTCCATTATCACACGGCAATTATTCTTCTTCATCGACCTTTAATTAGTCGATCTCAACATTCGAGTCCCCTCGACAGTGTGCTCAAAACGTTGGGCTCTTCGCACTTAGAAGCATGCAGAACATCAGCCGAACGCATCACTTCCATATTTGGGAAATACAGGAATTTATACTCACTGATTCGTCTTGACGTCTCCCAGGATATCACCACAAAATAACAGAAGTCTGACAGAGAAAAATACCAATCTCATTGGTAGATTGCGCACGCACAGCAGCCGCCATTCATCTATATAACATGACTTCCAATGATGAGTTGATAAAGGATAAGCCAAGACGGCTGCTTCTATCAACTTTCCAATATTTGCGTGAGATGAGTGTTGCATGGGGGTGGAGTCAACGAGCAGTTGTAGCCGTGAAGCATATGCTGAAAAATGGCTAAAAGAGGACAGCCCTAAAATGCTTGGACTCCAGGAGACAAATATAGAAACGGAAGGTCAAATGCAGTGCAGTGCAGTGCAGTGTTCTCTGCTTGTGGTCCCTCCCGTCAGACTCCTGCCCCCGAGGGAAATGTTGAACCAGAAATGGCTTTCCTGGAGAGTCTGAATTGGGATAGCATATTGCAAGATGATCCGAATTCAGTGCAGTCTATATTAGATATCTGGCAGAGTGAGTTTCTATTTGAATAGAATCTCGAATCTATGACTTTCAAACACAAATGGCCGGCAGGTACATACAAAACCCAAGCTCTATGGTTGTATTATAATACGGTCATAATATACAGAAAGCTGGTGTACGAACAATTTATGGTATAGATGACCAAGGTTGACAACTCTAACTAACTACAATGACAAAACCCGCTATTTTAACATATACGGATATTGATAACTAACTATAATATACACTTCTATATAGTATGCCAAGTACCCAATGTCATATGCTGCTTCTGATATAATACCTGGTTTCTACCATGTATTCGGACTTGGTATTCGACAATATACATAGAGTGATTACCGAATACTCAAGCGTTGATCAGGATGAAGAATAGAATAAAATAGCAACACAGTACGGCCGAAAACGCGTGATTTACTTGTTACATGCATGCCAACTCAGAGGCCGCGCTGCCACTTGCTGTAAGGGGGGAGGCTTTCAGACTCACCGACTCAACAACTGTGTCCCTCGAATTTGTATAGGCAGCCCCAACGATCCTGCATTTGATCTGTGATACTATTTCTTGCCATTGGACTAGATTATCCCTGAACCTGTCTCAGAAGGGGTGTGGGTGGGGGCGTCATATAAAGCAGGGCGCTCAGCTAGAAGCCGAAGGCTTTTGTTCATCAACCATGGCTCAAACCTCTGAATTGAAGATCGCCATTATCGGTGCCGGCCCAGCCGGGCTTACACTAGCCTCGCTGCTCACAGCAAGCCCGCATCCTTTCAACTTCACCGTCTTTGAACTGCGACAGAGACCGCACCCATCCGAGGTCAATTTACCCTGTGGAAATCTGGATTTGCAGGAAGGATTGGGTCTCCAAGCCCTCCAAGCATGCGGCCTTTATCCTCAGTTTCTAGAGATTGAGAGCGACTGTACCCAGCAAAGCAAGGTGCTCAACAAGAATGGCACGGTCCTCTTCGATCATGTCACCCAAAAGCAGCCCGAAATCTCCCGCAACGCGCTCACACAGCTGCTACTATCATCGGTACCCGTCGATCGAATCAGATGGAACACTAAGGTCCTTGCTGTCATACCAGCAGATCACAGCAGTGGGCAAGGCACGGTCGTATCTCAGGAGACCATCGCCTTGAATTCGACGTCGGAGACGTTTGATCTGATCGTGGGTGCGGACGGTGCGTGGTCGCGTGCCCGTGCAGCGATCCCATCGACGCCACAACCTATATACAGCGGTGTCTGCTACATAACGCTGTTTCTCCCGCGGCTGACGGAAAAGTACCCTGAACTCGATCAGCTGATTGGCGGGGGCACGTTTGCCGTCTGTGAAGACGAAAAGTTGCTTCTCGCCCAGCGCACGGTTGGTGGCACTGCACGGGTTTGTTTTTTTCTCCATTCGAAATGCCAGCCGGCCGTGAAGCGCGCATTGCAGTCTTCGGGGCATGATGACCGCATCGGCCCTAGCCCTATCCTCGATGCGAACAGCCTCCCTTTGACTCTCCCGACCCGTCCAGAAGAACTGCAAAAGTTCTTGTTGACAAATTATGACTTCTTTGCATCATGGTCGGACGAAATTAAGCACCTCTTGACGGTCACCTTGAATGAACAGCCGGCAGACGCTGAAATCGTCGCTTATCCAATGCATATGCTGCCCTTGACGCCATATCCGCATACACATATGAGGGGAATCGTCTTGGTGGGGGATGCGGCGCATTTGATGACACCATTTGCCGGAAAGGGCGTCAACATCGCTATGGCGGATAGTCTCAGTCTTGCGGAGCAGTTGGAATATCTGGCAGTGGGGCGCTCATCGACAATGTCATTATATGATGCCCTGGATGAAGCGATAGTGGGTTATGAGGAAGTGGCCCATCCTCGGGCGGAGAAAGCGATGAACCTGACATGGCACAATCTGCTCCTTTCATATGGCGGCAATGGGCCGGAGCAAATTGGCAATGTCTTGGAGAGTTAGTACTAAAAACAAGTATCCTAAAGAGCCTCTTACTTCAGTATACGATTCGAATAACCGTGAACCCCTTCAACGTGATGTTTTCATGTAACCAATCTGAGCCTCTTCAGACCCCGCAACCAAGTACGGGACATAGATGACTGCTTCTTGGTATATAGCTATATTATTATAGACTTACAAGGTGGGAACCATATGACGGGGTCTTGCATTACAGGGAGGATCGAAATCAGATTCACCACTTTACTCACAGAAAGTATTTCCCAAACCCTATTTCGAAACACACCAATGTACTCTTGGCTTAGCTCCATTTCGAGGATTGGATTGTAATGGAAGGTAAAGACACGTGAGATTAGTTCCTGTAACTTACTGGAAATACTCTTACCATGAATACTTTCACCATGTTTCCCCCATATTTCGCTTAGATATCCACTTTCCGTCACAACTGCCAGTGTCCGCAAAAAACGCGTCAGACATAATCGTCTACTCGGACGCCTCTGGGAGTGAGGGCCTTCTAGGGGCCGCCATGGTTACACTCCACGACAATGAAGAGGTGGTAGAATCTCAGTATGTCCAGGTGGGCCCGATGGAACGGTGGTCGGTCCACGTTGCAGAGCTCATTGGCATCTTCTACGCGGTCGACATGGTGTTCAAGCTGGCCCATTGCTTACTCTGGTGATTAGGTGTTGGTGTTAAATTCGTTCACAATGCATGTAGAATATGCCCCTCATGCTTGGCTGGGACCGAAAGCTGCTGTCTACATACAAAGATATCTGGTTATTATACGCCTGGAACATTCCAAAAGTATTGCTTGGCACTTGCAAATTATGCGACTCCTATTCTAGATGGGGTCCCATCTCACTTGGCCGCTCCGCTATTTTGTGCTGGACTCTCTGCATACAGTGTATTGAAGAAAGCCCGGGTTTCTCCGGGTGGCTGAGTGGTTGGAAAATTAGTCTGTCAGATGGCTGTGAGGTTCTTTTCCCTCTGGGTTATTGGAATCGATTTCAAAGAAAAAAGAACCTCTTATGGGAAGCTGTGAGGTGGAGACATACTTGGCATTGGAAGAAGCCGAATGCCTCATGAAGTCAGTAAAGACAGAGACAAACGATTTTGGCGCTGCGGCAGCTCTTGTTTGTACGGGAGAGGACTCGGCATATTCTCAAGCTCTCAACATGTTGTAGTTCAATGAGGTCCTAGTGATATCAGAGTCCAGGAGAATAAGAAAAGACCTATTGAAAATGCGTCTCCGAATGCGTTTCTGATCAATCAAAGCACTATTGTTGGCTCATCAGTTGGCAATTACGGAGAAGCTGTTGAGGTCATGAATCTAGCCCGTCGTGGTTTGATCCAAATGCCTTGGTCGCTTTCTCGAATCTATCTTGGAATTCAAAGAAATCCGCAACATTTATCTTTACTCGGAAGCCTTCCTTACTACGTTAATTGTCAAGTCTATTCGTCAGTGGAAGGCAGTCATTCCCCAGGCAGAGTCTGCGTGGCTCAATCTACGAGCCCAGCAATGGTGCCTCCTTAGTTGCATTCTCGGGAACATAGATTCCTGAGTATCCAAGCTTTCTATGGCGTGGGACTTGCAGCGAGAAGATTCCTTGGGTTCTACAGTACATGAAGAACAACACGAGTCCCCATGCTCCCTAGTGCGTTTGTAATGAAGCTAACGAGATGGCTGCTAGTCGCATGTATGCCCTTGAAGGAGTGTCTTCGGTCCCGATGGTTGTTGTGGCTACTAGCTACTGGGGAAGAAGAAGAAGAAGAAGAAGAAGAAGAAGAAGAAGAAGAAGAAGAAGAAGAAGAAAAAGGATCCTCGTGTATTCAATCTAGGAAGAGCAGGGTATGTAACTAGTCTGGAGCGAATGAAAAAGAACAACCAAGGGAATGCCGCCATGGGGCAGTCGTTTACCTGTAGTGCAGGATGAGGGGTTTCTTCTGTCGTTTGGTGCCATGGTGGACGAAAGCTAACGCAGGATATAACCCCAACTCGGACATATTGGTTGGACCTGCTTAATCGCGGAAATACTATTGCTGATCCAGTGGGTCGCTATCCACGCCCGGATCTACTGCATCTCGTTATGGACAAGAAGATCAAGTACTAAATAGATCTCCCTAATAGAACGTCACTCGCCAATTTGACATCGATGTTCAGACCCCTTGGGTGAAGATTGTCCGAATCTGATTGGACTAGATAAAGTATTGTATGAGCCCTATTTAGGGATGGCTGGCCATGGCTATATATAAATCACACCTTCTATACCATAGGATATTGTTTTACAGCTTCCGCATGATGGCGGCGTAAGGACCGCCGGGCACGCCGATCACCCCTTGTATGTGGGAACCAAGTATATCGCACTTGCACCACTCTACCCGTTCTATTTATACTCAGTCTATGTATAGTTCCACTATCTAACTCGGGCGCTAATTTGGATAAGGAACCTAGTCTTTGCGGTATTCGACTCTTGTTCTCTATTGTGTGATTCACTTGAGGTATGCCTACCACCAAGTGCAAAACCAAAAAAAGTGAAGTGACTTCAAGCCTTCCATTAAAAAAATGCAGAGTAAGTAATGTGACTTCTCAACTCGGAGGATAGTCCAAGATCTGTTGCGGGGAAACTGTGTTGTATCCACTTCTCGCGTCCCCGACGCAACCCTACGGACATAACGGGGATTTTCCGTCTTTTGGCGTTGCTCGGCGTCCTTGGCTAAGAAGCTTAGCATATTTCCAATATACCGTGGTCTAATTTGTCTACTAATGACAGTTGTCATTCGATATTCCTTCTCGTTTGTGCAACATATTTAAATTTCGTGACGTGTTCACACATCTTGTTGGTAAATCGAGGCAGCCTAGATCCTTCCTACATGCATCCATGCGTTGTTCGAGAACCCTGCTCCACCCGAATCTGCCCTTACTCATATCATATAGAGCGGGCCTAGTTTTGCTTTTATAACGTCCGGATTGGCTCGAGGTAAACCTGCGACGCCCCGGGCCCGGCAGGACTTTGTACCAACCAACCCACCTTACCATCTGCAATTGCCTGTAGTTATCACTTCTATACATAGAACATCCCGATTCCGGCTTTGATTCCGGCTTCGGTTGGTATTGCGACATGCTACAGCACGCGGCGATCCCGGAACTTCTACCATTCCCAGCTATTTTTAATTAATCCCCAAGGTGAGTGCTACTGGATTATCTTGAAAACTTGTATTGATTGCTGCAGGTGAGGGGTGAGGGGTGCCCTGTCACTAAGGCCTCCATATTCCCGATCCATCGCATTGTCCGTATCCTATCTTCCCGCTTGTGACTATACCCCACTGGTAGATAATAATAACTCATACCAGGTGCTTCAGAGCCGAGGCTGCCGATGCCTTGCGTCGCTTGGCATCGGCAGGAGGGGAGCACCAGCTCCATTCTACCAAAATTTGGAAAAACCGCTACCTGATTAGGGCAATATGATGATGCGATACGAGAGTGCATAAGCCTCTGGTGGATACTGTTGAACTTTTGTTCACCACTTCAAGCTATATAAGGCGTCTGGTACGCAATAGTAGAGGGATTTTCATTCTGTTTCAACATACTATATTCCCAGTTACCCACAAGCCTTCGAAGAATATCAATATGAAGTTCCAACTGCTTGTTACTCTACTTCCTGTCGTGTTACCCTTGGTGCATGGTGCCCCTGCCAACAGGAATACCCCCAACCCCGGTCTTCGCGGAAGTGACTCGCTAGTTGGATATTCGCCAGACAACAAGGGTGGCAGTGACTCGCCACCTGATATCAAGTTTACTCTTGTTCCAGGGCAGAAGGAGGATCCAAAAATTGGGGCATACCTCGATTTTGAAAAAGCCGACAATCCCCAGCCGAGCCGTGGGCCCACGGGTGCTGATGATCCTGGTCCTAGTACGAGCGCCGTCAACGACATCAGGATTTGACCAGTTACTGAGTAGGCTAACATTTATTGTAGGGAACTATTACTATGACAGAATAAATAGCGATAAACTTGCACCCCCCGGAACTGACCATGGCCAGACCATCAACGCGCAGTGGCCGATGGGTAAGTCCACTAGTCGACGTGGAGAAATGTATAATTTGCTTACTATATGTCAGGATTGAGCCACAATAGGTAATATTCCATTCCCGAACAAGAACATTGCATATACTCATATCCTTTTAAAAGACTTGGAATAGACGGAGCTGGTTGGGCTCGCCAAGCGAACACAGTTGTGATGCCGGATGCGACGCTCATGGCTGGTGTCGATATGCGCCTGGAGCCTGCCGGTTACCGTGAACTTCACTGGCATGTGGCTGCCGAATGGTCCTTGGTGCTGAATGGATCGTGTCGAATCCAGGTATTTTCATATCATAAATCGGCTGAAATAAGTACTGATCAAACAGCTAGGCTGTGAACGAGAACGGGGAGACATTTGTTGACGATATTACTGCCGGCGATGTGTGGTTCTTCCCACCGTTAGTATTGCGATATACACTAATAATGTTCTATGCTAATGGACTGATCGTTAGTGGCGTTCCTCATTCTATTCAAGCCCTCGACGATGGAGTTGAGTTCCTTCTGGTGTTTGACGATGGGGACTTTAGCGAGGATAATACATTCCTCGCAACAGAGGTCTTCCTCCACACCCCAGTAAGAAAAGCAAATCTTAAATTGAAAACAAAATCCAATCTGCTAACCGCCCACATAGAGAGAGGTCCTCTCAAAGAATTTCGGAGTTGATATAGCAGCCTTTGACAAGATCCCCGACGACGAACTATACATTTTCAAGGGCACACCCGCCCCAGCAGACATCGAGAAGCAGAACGTGACGACAGCTGCTGGGCTTGTACCTCGCACTCAGAGCTATTCATATCATTTCTCTGAGCAGCCGGCCCACAAAGTTGCTGGGGGTTCCGTCAAGATCGTTGACCCGCTCACCTTCCCCATTGCCAGCAACTTCTCCGCAGCTATTGTCACCGTTAATCCAGGTGGCATGCGTGAGATCCACTGGCATCCAACTAGTGACGAATGGACTTTCTTTATTTCGGGCCGGGGCCGAGCGACGCTTTTCACTGCTCCGAACGCCGCGACTACATTTGATTATGCCGGTGGTGATGTTGGTTACTTCCCAAAGTCTAATAGTCATTATATTGAGAACACCGGTGATGAAGACTTGGTCTTTGTGGAGGTGCTGCAGGCGCCTGAATTTACAGGTATTTTTCCTTTCTTGCTACATGTTCAGCTTTACATGCACTGACGGTTATTAGATATGGCTCTTGGTCAATGGATCGCGTCCACGCCGAAACAAATCGTTGCGGATACACTCAATCTTAGCGAGGACACGCTTAACAATCTCAAGTCTGAGAAGCAATTTGTTGTCGCTGGTACTAGTAATTAGATTGCCTCGGCGGACCATTCCCATGTTCATAATTCATCCCCATGTTCATAATTCACAGGTCTCAATGACGTTCTTGGTAATTTAATAAAGCGTTATTAGAAACGAGGCACGGCGGATCATCCGAGTAATGCCCCGGGATAAAGAGCTCATTACTGTAAGGGTCGCATGTACCTGTGGCAAGTGGATGGGTCCGCTGATAGACTCAGTCGCCCCCAGAAGCTTCAAAAGCCTCAAAGCGGCACTGTATGATATCTGCTTCGGGTTAGAGCGTATCCTCAACTATGACCACGGGCCGAGCCCATCAGGCCCACGCACCCGTGTTGCTTACCAATGCCTCTATTTCGTCTCTGAGCACGTGGAATTTCAAAGAACTTCACAATGCGAACGCTTTATTGGACGCTCATAAATGTAAACGTGATGGGTGAGATTTTAGCGGAATCGATGGCTTGCAGCCTGCGTCGCAACGCAATCTTGGCTAAGACGAATGAAGACCCTCGTTGACAATGCTAGGTGATTGGCCCATAAACTGTTTTGTGGTTCTACGCCCCCACGCGGTATCGTGGCTGACAGGGCTCTGGTTGTCTTTTAACACGAAGTCGAGTTCCCGGCTGGTTTCAGGGACGATGGATGTCAATGTCCAGTTTATGAGCGATACAGCCGAGCGGCGACGTACTCAGAATCGTCTAGCTCAGCGCAAGTTCCGCGGTGAGGGGCAGTTGTCCAACAACCTGTGTTGATCATCCTGCTGATCGGAATCGTGATAATAGAGAAGAGGAAGCGGAGGGTAGCAGAAAATGCCGTTGAGACGCCTCAAGACTCATCACAATCGACGTCAACCGCCAATAACAATGGGAATTTTCCAATTAACTCTTTGCCTTCGTTCACAAGTGCGATTCCCGCACTGGCGGGAGCCTTGCCTCCAGACGAAATTCCGATCGCTAGCACAGGTTCAGGACCGGTAGACAACTTCGATCTCGATGCGATAGACCAGTTCTTGTACCAAACCAACCATGATTTCGCCTTCACTTTGTCCGATTCATTGCCTGTCCAGTCAAGCGCGACACGATCAAATTTCACTCAAAGCAATTCCTCTGGTCCCGGTTCACGCAAGGCACCCCACAACAGCACAACAAGTGATAACTCAGCGTCGCTCTCTCAATCTGGGGATAGCCACAGCCTGCCATTACATCACATAACATCCGCTTCTGATATTCGCCCAGAGAGTCCCCCCCTCCAGCCTCCGCAATCACCCAACTATGATACGGTATTGGAACTCATCACATCGGCCAGAAATGACAAGGGATGGATTGGCCCGCTTCACATCGCCGCTCAGAAGGGCCACGAGAGAATTGTTCGAGTTCTTTTGCTCCAGGATAACATAGATGCAAACAATAAAGATAGCGACGGTCGCACACCCTTGATACACGCGGTGATTGAGAATCATGATTCTGTAGTCCGCCTACTACTCTCCCACGGTGCCAGGATAGGCGTGTATGATTGCGATGGTCGCTCTGCTCTGCACTGGGCTGTCTTGCATCGGCGACTCGAGATACTGAAGCAATTGCTCGGGCATCGCGCCAAGTACGAACCCGGTTTGGATATTGATGTATACGACAATTATGGCTGGACCCCATTGCATATGTCAGTGGATAGAGCTTTTGAGGCTGGAATCTTGATGCTCCTCCAGGAGGGCGCGGATATCAACGCTAAAGCACACAAATGTCCGTACACGGGCACTATCCTTCCGCTGATGGATGGATAGCGATAAAGTGATGGTTTCCCTGGAATTAGCACTTTCTTCGAAATCACTAGTCATCTTTTCACACTTTACTCTGCCACACTACCTGATAGCCCAGAGTCTGCCGTCACAGTAGAATGCAATCCATTTGTCCAGGAGCTGGAGGAACTGCGACCTTCCTATATCCGCGAAACAAACAACAAGCCAAGTTACCACTTCGGCATCTACACAACGGATCTCCCTGGTGGCAGCTATACAACAGAACCAACGATCGACTGATTGCCCGAGATACTATAAGAAGGCATCTACCTTGTTCGAATGCTGCTTACCGCATCAATGGTATTACTACCAATACCACACATGCCCTAGTCAGAACACCCCTGAGTCGAATACTGCGAATACTGTTGTTCCCACTTGGAGCGATGCTTTATACTCTATCAATATGGACGTCTATCTGGACCCAGGTAGTGCACCCAAGTGTTATCCACGGACAACGGGCACAGATGAACCGCAATCAGAATCTCTTGGAATGTATCACATAAAATCGTGGTTAATAATACGATCAACATTCGACACCAATTGAGAGACTACAGATACCTCAAAGGGGTTCTTATAAGGATCATTCAAATACAGCTACCATATAGAGTCTAACCATAATAATTGAAATGTCTAAATAGTATCTACCAAGGCTCCTGATTACCGTCATACTTGAAGAGCTTTCCACTGTGAGATTCTAGTGTAGACGCGTCAATAACCTTGACCACGCCGGTAACACTCTCCTCCACGGTAATGGCGGCTTTCTCGATCCCGAAAGCGTCAGCACCCCGGTTACCGAGCTCAGTCTGAACCCAGCTATTTGCGGTGCCATGGTCAGTCCACCACGCAGGAACACTAGGGTGGGATTGAACATGTGAGACTTACCCTGGGTCCAGAGGGAACGCAGTCAACCAAGGATCTTCAGCGGAGATTGCCTTAGTATACCAGTGCTGAGCACCTTTGGTGGGAGCGTATGCAGCATTTTGTAGGGGGATAAAGTTCCTACGAATAGTCAGTACACACTCATTCAGGTCCGGGCTAGGTGCCATCTGCCAACGGCAGGTGGACTGGTGTCGACAGGATACTTACTATAAATATTATTAGCACCTGGTTTAGGTCGGAAAAAACGGAATGAGGAGACTTACCGTCAGGAACGCGGAGCTAGATCCGATTGTTACCAACTTGGGGGCCTGTGCCTCCTTGAGGACGGGTCGGAAAGCCTGATAGAGACGGATGAAGCCATATACATTGACTTCAACGTGCTTCTGGATATCCTCCACCTTAACCTCTGACACCTTTGGCCAAGAAAGAGCGATACCGGCGTTGGCGATCAGGATGTCGATGTGGGTGATTCCCTTAGCATCTAACGTCTTCACAGCCGCAGCGGGGTCAGTGGGAGAGAGGACATCGAGCTTGATGACCTCTAACGTAGTGCCTTTAGCCTTGGGGAGATCAGCTAAGGCCGCAGAAGTTGGGTGGCTAGGGTCACGGTTGGCAGCGATCACCGTGTGGTTTGGCTTCTGCAGATATAGTTCTAGGATACCTTTTCCGATGCCACGGTTGGCGCCAGTAATAAGGACGATAGTTGGAGCCATGGTGGGATTCGAAACTAGTTACAAAAAGAAATCAATCTGATTGCCAGAAGTGAGATGGAGTTGCGGCAGGAGTTGAATTCCCTCAACAGACGCATGAACTACAACAAATATATACTACACTTGCTTATCAATATGACCACTTGCTAATAGGTGTAAGGTCATCATTTAGTTGTGACCGGGACCAGGGCAGCGGGTCGATTTGTTTAGGAAAAGCATCCAGTAGCACGCAATCAAAAATGAAAGCAGAGCACCGACTCCAAGGGCTATAGATCTCTTCAGAAATGCTCGGCTACAAATCATTGCTCCGTGCCACTCAAATAATGACGTTCAGTGATGTTCTTGGAATGGTATCATGCAAGGTCAGCAGCTTACTGTGGGGCCTGGGAATAAGCAGTGGGAAATAAGCAGCGAGGAGCATCGACACCCTGAGACCCGAGTGTGAACGGCTGATTCTAGCGACATGATAATCCTCTTAGGTTCGCTAACACTACACAATTGTCTACAGAGAGTTAATGTGAAACTTCGGTCGCTTGGCAATAAGCCGAAACCCTAGCCCTGGAGCTCGAATTAGTCAACTCAAGACCTCATTGAGTAGAGAAGAGAGTGAAGGAACTTCAAATCTACGAGATTTATCATAATTCTAACCAGAACGTCAACTCGTAGAGTACCTGATCTACATTGACCTGTGTCGCCTTTTTATGCATCAATTCCCTTGTCATAGACTGCTCTTATAATATACTAGAAACATTTGAATATCACCAAGGGAAACTCCCATCCTTATGAATGAACCTCCCAATATCAGCATCCCTCCGGCCCTCCAGGATACTCAGTATCGTATTTCCCGAGATGGACGGATCACTCGCATGCCCCCATCCACTGCGCTCCTCCTCACTTGTCCCACGCAGATTCGATCGGACAAACCCTGGACAAACCGCAAAGACCTTAAGCGGTGTATCGCGGCTCTCAACCCAATCCTGAAGCATGATCATATTCAAAGCAGATTTACTAGCACGATACGCCTCCCCATTCGACGGACCCCGGAACACCTTAGACGTGGGATCCGACGCTAGGGCCAGGGATCCGACCCCACTACTCACGTAAATAGAGTAGGGGTTTAGCGACTGCAAGAGCAGGGATCGGAAGGCGGCCGACACGACTGCCGGTCCAATGACGTTGGTATCCATACAGAGTTGAAGCCGGGTCTTGATGTCCGGGTGCCGACTCGCCACTCCGGCGTTGTTTATCAGCACATCGAGATGTCCGAATCGCTCTTGCACGTTTGTTGCTGCGGCTTGGATTGATGTCTCGTCTGTCACGTCTAGTTGCACGGTCGATACGTTTCCCGTTATCCCGTCTTGCTTCAGTTCGTTTAGGGCTTGCATGCCTTTTTCGAGGGACCGACAGGCGATAATTACGTGGAATTCTTGGGAGGCCTGTGCCAGTACCTTGGCAGTCGCAAGGCCGATGCCTGAATTGGCTCCTTTTTTATCATATTAATTCTATTGTGTAATGGGTGGTTGGGGCAATCCTACCGGTGATGAGGACAATCCGTGGAGACATTATGTGAATAGTAAACCAATAAATAATAACAGTGATATTAATAGTAGTATTAATAAGGAGATACAATAAAAAAAATATTGAGAGGGAAGCAGATGGTAACCCCTTTTGTGATGCTAGTTCTGGAGCCCAGAAATGGATTTAACACGGTCTTTGTCGCTCTTCTACCAGAAAATACGGCATTAAACAACAAAAGCCCGAAGGTACTATCTAAACCAATGAATTCTCGTGTATTGAATTAATTTCAGCTAAATTCACTGTCTAGTTCAGTTGATTTCCAAGCATTTATAAGTGAATCTTTAAGTGGCAGGGGTTGCTGTGATGCAAACCCCGACAAAAGCCGACCATCTCTACACCATTGGACTACGATAAATGAATTTCAACCACAGGAGAGGGAATCAGAGGGAGTTAAGGTCTTATAGCCGTTCAAGATATTGCGGGGGCTTGGTCATCTCACAATGGGTTCGTCCGGGGTTAAGTCAATCAGGACGATATATACCTCCTCATTGTGGCAGGGCGTTTGAATCAAACCTCGACAACTTTTACATGATCACCCTGCCAATCTAAATCATCCAGCAAATCAAATAAGCCTAAAACAATGCCTCCTCCACCTCCTCCTCCCAAGAGCGTCCTAGGTCGTCACCGTCTCCTAGCCCCCTCGGCATCGGTGCGCGTGAGCCCTCTGTCACTGGGCGGCATGAGTAATAAATCCCTTTCCACATCTTCCAGAATAGTATTAACAGAGAATACCAGGTCTGGGCGACAACTGGAAGGGAATGATGGGTGAATGCACAAAAGAGCAGGCATTCGAACTCCTAGACACCTACTACGACCTAGGAGGTAATTTCATCGACACAGCCAACATGTACCAATTCGGACAGAGCGAGGAGTGGATTGGCGAGTGGCTCCAAAAGACAGGTCGACGGTCCGAGATCGTGCTAGCCACTAAGTACACGCTGAGTCCTATCTTCGGCAAGGGCGTGCAGCAAAGTAACTACGGGGGAACGGGAACCAAGAGCATGCGCGTGGCTGTAGACAATAGTCTGAAGCGTCTTCAGACGGATTACATTGACCTGTACTATGTACATGCGTGGGACTTTGCCACTTCCATCCCTGAATTGATGCAATCGCTTAATACCCTCGTGCAACAGGGTAAGGTGCTCTATCTGGGGATCAGTGACACGCCTGCGTGGGTCGTTACTAAGGCTAATGCCTACGCACGAGAGCATGGTCTGCGTCCGTTTTCCGTCTATCAGGGTCGGTATTCGGCTATGATGCGCGATCTCGAGCGTGATATTATCCCAATGGCGAGGGATGAGGGTATGGCTATTCACCCGTGGGGTGTGCTGGGTAGCGGTATGTTTTTTGTCTTTCCCTTCTTTGGGTTTTTCTTCTTTGGGGCGTGGCTGTGTTGGTTGGTTTCCTTTTTTTTCGAGGATTAACATTAACGGTTGCAGGATACATCCGCTCACCGGGTGCCACTCCCAAGGAAGGTGGTCGTCAAACGCCTCATGTCAAGACGGGTCGCGAGGAACAGGTATCGGCCGTTTTGGATACCGTGGCCAATCGCCACGAGGTCCCTATTACATCCGTTGCGCTCGCTTATGTGCTGCAGAAGGTAAGACCATCTCAAGCTTGTTGATTTGAAATGAAAATCTAACTGGCGAAGGCCCCTTACATCTTCCCCATGGTCGGTGGCAACAAAGTCTCCCATCTCAAGTCCAACATCGAGGCTCTGAGTCTGGAGCTTACTGCTGAGGATGTTGCCGAGATTGACAAGGGCTACAACTTTGATCTCGGCTTCCCGCACAACTTCCTCAATCTGGCGGGCTTTATGCCACAGGGTCCGCAGCATGTGTCCTTCCTCTCAGGGTTGGGTCATTTCGACTATGTGGAGGCTCAGTCTGCAATTAAGCCTCAGAAGTAGTCACAGTATTCACCAGTTTCCATGGAAATACTGTGATATATATAGAATAATGTGCGTACAGACAATTCCAGGATTACTTATCCTTTTATTATCCAACATGTAGACAATGGGGTATTACCATTTCATCATCGATGCATACAAGCCCATATATATAACGTTGAGAAAACATGGTGTAATTCAATGTTGAGAAGTAAAGAGTCGAATATCTCAAGATCTAACCATCGGGTTTAGTCGGACACTACAAACCCCGTGTTAAGCACGGAGTTTTAATATAGTAAGACCTGATGATTCGGCACCATTTATTTAGCTTGTCCTATCCCTGACTAGCGCATGTAAGTGTAATAAATAACGCTAGTTATAGGAGCCCCGATAGGCCACAAGTGGCCAAAGGGCAGGGATGGTCGGGCTGTCGCGGACAGCGTCCGATGGCTCCATACATATTAATTTCTCCCAATTTCGTTCCTTTCATTCATCTTTTGTTTTCCATTGACAGCCAATACGATAATGTCTAGAGTACGCCCATTTCCTCGGAAGACTGCCGCCGCAATCGCCGTGGTTGGTGTAGTTGGATTGTGTGCTGCTCGAAAAGCCTCATTCCGCAATGAGGCATTCGCGGAGTCCCCAAAAGCTTGCGGTGGTCCTGGCGCTCCTGGGGGGTTTGGAGGTCGTGGTGGTCCCGGTGGGAGAATGGGCTTTCACACCCTGCGCCTGGAAAGTTCCCAGCAAGTGAACGACAACACTAAGCGCCTACGCTTCCGACTACCAGACCCAGCTTCGAACGCGGATCTCTCCTTGACCTGTAAGCTACTCTGTGCATCCACAAACGACTAATCAAATCAATAGCAACCACGCTAATGTCGGATTAAGCGTTTATCCTCACGTTTCACAAACCAAAAGACGCGTGGTTTCCCATAATCAGGCCATATACCCCAATTAACAACTTTGGTAAGACTTTGGACTCTATTTCCGGGGCAAAATGAATGATATTTTATTCTGACATTCATATACAGATGAACCGGGGTACATTGAGCTCCTGGTCAAAAAATACCCCAATGGCAGGGCTAGCGGATACTTGCACTCTCTCCAGCCCGGCGATCAACTGAACATCCGAGGACCTATGCGGGGCTACAAATGGAAAACCAATGAGTTTGAACATGTCAATCTCATTGCCGGTGGTGCTGGAATCACTCCAATGTACCAGCTGATCCAAGGGATGTTGAACAACCCCGACGACAGAAGTAAGATCAAGTTGATTTTCGGGGTTAACACGGACAACGATCTTGTCATGAAAAAAGAACTTGATGCGTTTGAGCAGAAATTCCCCGGTCGTCTCAAGGTTGTGTATAGAGTCTCAGACCCGGTTGAGGGTTCCCCGTTCACTAAGGGCAGGGTCACCAAGGAGTTACTGGAGAAGGAATTGCTGGGCCCAAAAGATAGCAAGAGTACTAAGGTCTTCCTATCTGGACCTCCGGCTATGGAGGCGGCGATCTTTGGAAGTAAAGGGTGGATTTCCAGCCAGAAGGGAGTCCTAGAAGAACTTGGCTACGCGTCAGACCGGGTTCACAAGTTCTAGAATGTTTTGTTTGCTCTTTTTTTTCCCTCCACCCCTTGAAAGTCCAGATGTTTATAGGTACCTTGCTCGTAAATAATGGCAAACTAAATAGAATAATATTTGGTTAACGCAGAGAAAAGGACGGAGTACATACCACTAGTCTTAATGAATAACAGTAGCTTAAAGAGGACACAGAATCTTTGGTCAACAAAAGAAAGAGGAACAAACCATAGGAACGTCAAATATTATGAAGTTGCAATCAGGCTTGGCATCATGTCAGACACCGAGAGATACCCAAATGTCACGAGACAACCAGGCACCCCTGGATTGTGATAACAAAGACGAATTGAGATCTGATGAAGAACCAGATGAGAACAACTTAAAAGGAAGTTCAGTCAAAGACAAAGCTTTGATAAGCGATCAATTTGTTTAGATTGTTTTGATTTCTGTGTCAAAGTCGCCGGCTGTCAATGTTTCCCAGCTCAGATCCTGTTAGGCCCCCGACCAATTCTGGGTAGCGGGGTCCTTGGCCTGCTGGACAACTCCCTGCACTATCCACCTCGTCTTAGACTATTCCGCCGCCTTGTCAATGTCAGGGGCAACAAACTCGCGAGCCTGGAAGAATTTCCCAGTGCGGATGAAAGCTTTCATTTTGGCGGAAAGGTCACTGACGAAGACATTGCTAGCTTCAGAGCAGTTTCTGTGTGTGGTCCGTATTTCTAGACGTAGAAACCCGCAACATCTTGAGGGACATATGCCCCAGCACTGTAACCATGGAGGGATGCGCCCAGGAAGAATCTGCCTCGGTCTTCTCCGTCTTTTATCCACGTGGAGTTGAGAGTCGTTGGGAATGCACCATCTGGCGTATACTGCCCCAAGCAAGAGACAGAGGTTTTTTCGTGGTCGCGATTCTGGGTGCACTTCTGATGCAAGAAAGGGATAATTCTAAGATTTGAAAGAGTCCAGAATCGAATATCGTTGCGAGTAAAGTCCTTAAGTGTAATTTCGACGTGCTGGCGTGATCGTTTCTCATCGACAATGATGTGTCGGGTTCACTAGAATTATCTGACGGAAAGCTGGTGTACGAACAATGTATGGTATAAATGACCAATGTTGACAACTCTAACTAAAATGACAAAACCCGCTATTTCAACAATCTGTGCGGACCATGATGACTAACTGTAATATGCACTTTTGTATGGTATGCCTGGTACCCAATGTCACATGATGTTTCCGGTATATTACCTGGTTTCTACCATGTATTCGGACTTGGTATTCGACATTATCCGTTAGATCCCATTCCCACTTGTCGATGGTGATCACCGCTTTCTTCTGGTTGGATCTAGCGTGACTTGCGACTCGGACATTTCGACTTCAAGGACGAAGGTGGGGTGTGGCGGTGATTGAGTCCACGCGTCAATGTTCTCGTACCATCTGACACGACGATGATGGGAAACATTGATAGGAAGGATAGTCGACGCACACGCAGGAGTATGGCGTACTGTGAGGTTACCTGGGGGACAGGAGTTGTACAAAGTGGTCTAGGTACTGATCGTGCCTTCCCTATACGGCAGTCCATTACGCCGCCTTAGATTTTGCCTGCAGTGCACATTTGGTAATTGGAGCGTTCCATCATGTTTCACAGTTTTTCCGCGGTTATAAGTTATATAAATACTATCCCTAGAAGAGATTTTCTAACCGCGATTAGAAATAATAAATAATAATATATATACCTTTTTGAATGGCTTTTCATATACAATATCTGAAGTCGGAATATCTATTCCTGAATGCTTAATACTTGAGACCTTGACCAGCTAAAGCCCTACGTTTCTCATCGCATTTGCTGTTACTTGGGTCTAGTCCTAACAGTACCGTACTATGTCCCAATTTGGTGATATAACTATATGTAGTACGTGATCTTTTGACCACCCACAGCAGTGAGATAGATAGGTTCATAATCCACATAATCTCTTTCGTTATTGATCAAATTTTACTAGAAAACGCACCACAGCAGGTCATGGGTATTGGAATAACAGAAGAAAAAAACGCCTATAACTAATCAAGACAAACCGCTTCTCCGCATTAGGCTAAGGCCTGTATGGTGGGGGTTGATCAAGGCCAGAATCACCCGGACTATTCCCACTAGCATCTAATTCAACATGATAGCTAGGAAGATAAACATCCTGCCTGGAGCGAGTTTCAGAATCTAACTCAGAAATAGTAGACCCAACAAGCACAGATGCGGATTGCTATCGAATATCGTCAGTTGATACAGCTTCGTGGTCACGATTTAATTGACTTACCCCGGCCTTCGAGCCATAGTTCCGAATAAAAGTAGGATCCTGATTCCCGGTCTTCCCAACCAATTTATTTCGCTTCCAAATGCCATATTTAAGAACTAGTCCTCGGAAATCAGACCGCTCGATAATGCACTCATTGACAACGCAGTTTGTCAACGAAGCTCTCTGGAGTTGACTGTTTGAAACCATCGTTCCGGTCACCGTACTCCGCTTGACCGCACTCTTGTCCTGAATGACGGACTGTCCAATTGTGGATCGGTGCACCGAGCTTTGTGTTTGGATAGTGCTATTTGTGATAGCGCTGCGCTCGGCAAGGGCCGCATCGTGGAACTGGGAATTTTGAGCCGTGATCCGGCTCACGTCTTCCACCTTCGACAGCACACAGTCGCTTAGTGTGGATCGCTTTACGCAGGAATTGTTGATTGTGCAGTTGCTGAGAGAGCATCGGGTAATTGTGTTGCCATCCCCGTTGAAAGCGCTAGATTGCGCTTTGTCGTTGTCCATAATAGCACTCGGGACTCGAGTATTTGGCGAATTAAGGCGATACGAATGATTTCCTGGAATTTTATGTTGGTTAGGAAAATTTATAAGTTCGTTGAGATCTATTTTGAGGGCGGGGTTTTGGATGAGCTGACATCGAGCGGTCCGAGGCCACTCGAGGAAAGCTGTTGCCTACACGCAGTTTTCTATACTTTGACATCAAGATGATTGCGAAACATAAATTGTACATAATATTCATTATTTATCCAGTATGCTCATCTACCATCAGGCCACTCCAAAATCAAAGATCTAGCATTCGCGTGGCCAATTATCGTTCCCGCGCAGAATAATAGAATGGACGGCGACGAGAGATAATAGAAAGCTCCACCCCCAATTTTTGCAATGATTCAATGTCATTCTGTCAGTCCTCCTCGGTCTGTTTCCCTGTCTCTTCCTTATCCTGGTCATATAGCTTCTAATATGTAACCGCACGCAGATTCGGAAGCTAACCAGCCCCCACCCTTTCAACAAGGCTACCGAAGGAGATACTCACCGAATGGAATCTTCTCAAAGATAGAACTTGAGAAGCCATGGCTGGTAGATGTAGACCGTAGAGAAACGTGAAAGATGAGAGAAGATGGATTCATTGTCTAGTGAGAAGAAGACAAAGAGAAGAGATGAAGAATTCATCTACAAACAAACAGAAGCCAGCTAAATGGCCAGTTGATTTCTGACAAACAAGACATCGAGGCAGCTGCTTTGTCTCAACATATTTCAATTCTCTGCCTTGCTGTCTGAGTGCATCGTTATTCATCGATGTTGGACTTCATTGTTGAATAAGGACTGCCCGTTCTAAGGATGACCGGACCAAGAACGGACTAGAACCCCCCGATAAAGGATTAAGTTAAAGACTGTACATTATAGCCACAGATGGAAGTCAAGGCCGAATATGGACTCGGAAGAGACTCGGCTTCGATCAGAATACTTGACGTACCCAATCCCACCAGGACTGTCCATGCTGGATGCTACCTAAGTAGAGCTGAGCACAACCTCATTGACTGCCTAGAAATCTTGTCAGATCCATAGTCCATGATTTGTGTATTGCGTTGAATGAACAGAGTATTCGTAGCGAAAAGAGATTTATCTTATATCCAGCCGCGAGTTGCAATTCATAAAGCAGCTGACTTGCATGACAGTTACTTGCACAACGGTTACTTGAATTACTTCACTTTCTTGAATACCGTTATCTTGGAATATCGGACCAAAGGAAATTGATGCTGGAATATACACGGTAGCAGCCGTCACAGTTATACGTAGCCTGGGTTTGTTTCATACGGCCCCATCGTGGGCAGGGGTAGTGATAGCTGTGATCATCTCAACGCCGTATAGCTCAACTAGCTCAATTGCCAAATGAATTAGTACGGCAAATATTTGGGGTTTATAAGCTGCCCCCAGGTCTTTTTCTTTTCACTTCTTGATCATCTTTCTACCACTCCAGGTTTTCGCCCTTATATCCTTCTTCAACTATCGATTCTCCCAGTTTCAATCGAATACCTTCAGTTCGGAAGATTATGCCCTCCAACGTTCAAAATGTGGGCATCAAGGCCCTGGAGATTTATTTTCCTAGTCGGGTAAGTATGATTTATTGTCCACCCTGCAATTGAAGCCATTGGGCAACTAACATACTACCTTGTATACAGTACGTGCCACAAAGCGAGCTCGAGACCTATCTGGGGGCCAGTACTGGGAAATTTACCATTGGTCTGGGTCAGCAGAAGATGAGCTTCTGTGATGACCGCGAAGGTATGCTGGCAAACTTAAAAGCCCATGCTCCATGCTCCATGCTAAAATGTGACCACATTTATAGATCTATATTCCATGGCGCTCACAGCGGTCTCCTCCCTGCTGAAAAAGTACCAGATTGACCCGAACACTATTGGCCGCTTGGAAGTGGGAACGGAAACCTTGCTCGACAAATCCAAGTCTTGCAAGTCGGTGCTCATGCAACTGTTCGGGGAGAATACGGATATCGAAGGAATCGACACTTACAACGCCTGCTACGGCGGAACTAATGCCTTTTTAAATGCAGTCAACTGGATCGAGTCATCCACGTGGGATGGTCGCGACGCCATAGTCGTGGCGGGCGACATCGCTCTGTACGACAAGCCCGCCGCACGCCCTACTGGCGGTGCCGGCTGTGTGGCCATGCTAATTGGTGCCGATGCGCCCCTTGTGCTGGAG